GGGGCAGTATCACACCTGCCCCGCTAACAGCTGGTGAGCATACTGGCAGCCTAGCAGGAGAGGTCCAGATGCAGGCAGCTGGGTCCCTCCTCCACCCTGCTTGGGGCTGGAGGCCCCTTGAGGCAGGAGTCAGAGGAGCCCTGCCTTCCACAGTGGCCTTGGCCTGGCCAGCTCTGGTTCCTCTGGGCAGAGACCCCTCAGCATCACCCCCAGACAGGGCAACTTGTTGGTTGTCTCCCACGTGTGGGGCCTTGTTGTCTGTGTCCCCCCCACCTTCCCCCCCGCAGCTGTTGCTTGGGTAGCCTGGTGAGAGAGCAGAAGCTGGCACTGCCCTTGGCTGGAGGGGAGGCACAGATAGGGCCCCCCTAGGCTCCCTACCTCTGTGGCAGGGGAGGGGGATGTTCAGGTAAGGCCAACAGCAGGCTCACCCCTGCCTGCCAGTGCTGTGATGAGTAGGCCTGGCCATATCGCCCTTCCCAGGGCTCAGGCTGTGCCGAGCATGGTGCTTGCTGCAGGGAGTGGCTGTGAGCCCTCTGCCAAGTGCCACCCCACTCAGTTCCCTCCAATCCTTCTGTGCTAGTTCTTGGGGGGGCCCTAGCTCTGCTCCAGTGCCCCTCCCATGATTCCCTCACTCTGACAGCTCCTGGTGGCAGGCAGCTGTTTCCCTTGGGGCATCTCTGCCTTGCTGCTCTTCGTGCCTCCCTCATTCACTGCCAGGGAGGTCCTATGTAAGCTGCATCCCTGCGAGCAAGAGCCACAGGCCATTCTCGGCAGCTATGGATCTTGCTCCCTGTCCTGTGCTCTGCAACCACAGGGGTCAGGGAAATGGAGGCCTCTGCTATCACAGCATGGACACCTCCCCTTTGGCCTCTGCCCTGTGGCTGTCAGCTGTTCCCTGGGAGGCAGGGAAAGGGTTAGGGATGCCATGACTACTTCTCTGTTGCTCTGCCTTGTTTTCCTCGTCTGTCTGAGGGTATGGCTCAGACCTACCGCTGGCACCTCTAAGCAATATCCCCGTTCCCCCCCACAGAGCCTGTGGGGCGTCAGGAGAGACAGGTGGAGCAGCTGACGCAGGTCGGCGTGGGGGAGGTGCCTTGGGCTCTGCTCCATGGGTGTGAGATTGGTGTGAGCCTGCTCTGACCCTCCACCATGAGGGCGCTGACCCTCCAGCACCCTTTGAGGGGGTCTACTCACCCCTCTTCCTTGGGGAACCAACTGCAGCAGACACCTTAGTGTGGGACCAGACTGATGCCAAGCAGGGCTCGGCCCCTGGCGTAAGCAGGAGGTAATTGACCATCAGTGCCGGTCCCGGGGCTCATGGGCATTTGATGCTGTACCCACCCAGGCTGGAGGCTGAGTAGTGTTCCGCAGTTTGGGCAAATGGGCACAGCGAGAATCTTCCCTGGGGCAGGGGTGGAGAAGAGGCAGGAAGGCAGCATCAGGAGCTGTCAAGGACCTCATAGCACATGCTTTCTGCAGCCCTGGCCTGCCTGGACCTCTCACCTCCTGCTGGGCAAAATAGGCTTGTCTAGTGGGGGCCTGGCCTGAGCCGTGCCTCCATCCTGCAGCCTCTTGGCCTCTCTGCCCATGGCTGGCCAGTTGGACACACACCTGTTGCTGATTAAACTCTGCCTCTTCGCTCCTCTTGGCTCTGCAGAGCTGCCCCAGCTGTAGAAGAGCAAGACAGCCTACCTTCCATCCTCATTAACTCACTCCCACTTGCAGGATTTCCCTGAGAGCGCGGAACCAGAGGGCAGGTAGGAGCAAGCTCGTTGCAGGCTCAGCTGCCTCAGTGGGTGGGCGTCAGACACTGCACCCTGCCGCTCTGATCTTGCCCAGATCAGAGGGTTTCCTGTCCCTGGAGTGACATGGTGTGATCTAAAGGTGGCAGCTGCCAGTGCTGGGAGGTAGCTGGTTCCTCTCCCCCCTGTAGGCACCCTCCCACTGAACCATTGCACCCTTGCTGCCCTCACACCAGCCCCAGCCAAAGCGGTAGCAACCTCACACCGTTCCAGCAGTCACTGGGACTCTACAGGCCTTGTTCCCTGCTCCTCCTCTCCTCCCTTAGCCAGTCGGGGCACGTGGGGGCCGGCTGTGAGCACCCTCCCCTGGTGCAGGTTTTTAGCAGTGTACATTTTCTACGCCTTTTTTTGGGCCGTGTGTAAAAAAACAAACAAACCAAACAACTAAATCCCGATTTGTATGAAACCTTGTAAACTGTATAGAGGCTGCAAGCCCCGATGGATGAATGGCAATAAATGATGGTCTTTGATACTGTGCCCCAGGGAGAGGCAGCCTGTGTTTATCCGGTTGGCGTGGGCATTGGTGTCAGGGAGGGCAGCCTGTCTGCCTCCCTGTCGGCTGGAGCCAGGGCTCTGTCCAAATGACACCTGCAGTCCCTGGAGCACATGGGCATGGTTCACATTAGGCTGGGGTATTTCAAGGCTCCAAGAGGAGCAGCTGTGTTGTGGTTCCAGCTGAGAAGGTGAACAGCAGCAGGGGGTGAGCTAGTGCAGCTGGGCTGGCTCTAGGCATGGTTGTGAGCAGGCCTCAGTGTGGCACTAGCGCAGGGCTCTGGTCTCCAGGGGGAAGGGAAGAGGTTTTTGCCTGCAGAGTGGCACAGAGAAGTGGAGGCATGTTTTATGTAGAGGCCTGCCATGCTGAGCGGACTGGCGCTGCTCTTCACTGCTGCTGGTTAGCGAGAGGTAAATCTCAGCCCCACAGCAGGAGCCTCCAGCTTCCCTGGGAGCACGGCGTTTTTGGCAGAGCCAGTGCCCGACACAACAGAGACAAGAGGGCAGAACTATCAAAGGGGGGAAATGCCCCAGTGTTTAATAGAATTAACTTGTAGTCGATGTTAGTGGAAAACAGAACGCAGGATTAACGCAAATAGAGCAGATGGTTTGAAATCTGCTGGCAGGTGCCATCGGGGGGCTGGTGAGATGCGGCCACGCCTGTACATCCCTTACGTGGCGCACAGCATCTTCAACAGAGACCGAAAGCGTCCAAATCCAGCTTTCCTCCAGCAGCAGAGGCTCAGCGACCCTTCTAGACAGTGCGTGGCTGCCCCCTGGTGGCTCAGATAATACCGCAGCTCCGCCCCAGGGTCCTTTTTTTATCCCTGAACCTAGAATATGGGGACTCTGACCTCTGGTTAGTAAATATATAATAAATCACATTTAAAATATATATATAATATATATATATATAGACTTCTCTTTAAAAAAAATGTACAGTTTATCAACATTGAAAAAACCGGACTCATCCCAAGTCAAATCCCATGACATTAAAACCCTTTTAAAAAGGCTCTTTTAAACCCTTCCATAAAGTGCCACTGGTTTCAGCTATTTCAAAAGAGCAAGTAAGTCCCCCTCGTAGCACTTGCCAGATAGTGATGCTGCTGCTGCTGTTTCCCCCCACCCCCAACATGGAAAGCACAGTGCAACTGGCCAGCTCGCGTGCTCCCTCCGGCCCAGGCCACGGGGCGAGGTTGGCATGAGCTGCGCCCCTATGGCATGTGTGGGTCAGACAGGGCCACAGGGAAATGTATGTGGCAGGGGTCTGGTTCCAAGGGACTCCCATGCTGGAGCTGGGGCCTGATGCTATCAGCAGTCTCGTGTTTCCAGCGGCCTCTTCGGTCGCCCTCATGATGGCAGTTTGGTTTTGTAAAGAAGAAAAGGGGTCTTTTCATCCAACAGCTCTTCAGGCCCGAACATGCAGCGTTTGCTTTCCATGGCCCTGAGGCTTTTCTCACCCTGGAGTTTCAGGTCGGTGCCAAGTTCAGAGCAGCCAGACGTACTGAGACACAAGAGCCACTTGAATCTGGTGAGAGACATTTGTTCTTGGGGCTGTTCGGCCCTCGGGGAGCAGAGTGAGGTGCGGCTGCTAGTCCGTGGCAGAGCAGAGAGAGCAGCTGCTGCAGGCTAAGTTGGTGGAGAGCGATGAGGTGGCTCTCAGGTCAGTGTTCAGTATGGGGAGGAGGCACTTCCTCAGGTCCCTGCTTGCTGGAAGCATCTAAATGCACAGCTTTGCTACCAGCCAGCCACGAGCATCTCCCAGGTAATCTCCCTGCTGGGGGACAGGCGAGAGGTGGGGGTTGGAAGTACACCTTTGCCCTCAAGTCCAAACCTACCTCCTGGGGGGGTAGGGGCACCTTCCAGCCAGAGCCAGGAATGGGGCCCCTCCATGTTGGCATCACCACCTAGCCAGCCTGGCATCAGCCCAGCTGCCTGCTCTATTGACATGAACACTGAATACCCACAATGAGCACAGGGACAGGGCAGGGGGACCTTGGCCTTTGCCAAGGCTGCTGCTGACATGCCAGACCTGTTTCCTTCTCAGTGGGATCCAGGCTGAGCCAGCCTGTCCCTGAGGCTGGGGCTCTGCGGGGATTTCAGTCCCCTTGGATTACACGCTGCTGTGAGCTGATGTGCTTGGAAAGCAGCGCACAAAGCGAAGAGGGTTCCCCTTGCTCTGAGAGCTGTCAAGCTCCAACACGTCCCATCTCATTTCAGCTGCTGCTGGGCCCTGCTAGGCTGGGGGGCTGCTCAGGGAGCTCCTTGCCCCTGACACATTGTTGGCAAGGCATAAATAACAGGAGGCAGGCCTGGGTCTTGTGGGGAGTGAAGGGAAGGGGCCCTCGCAAAAGCTCCCTTGTTTTGGGCAAGGGGGTTGGTGCCAGAGCAGCTCTTGGCCACCCCAGAACCAACTGAGGGTGGCAGCTGTGAACTGAGCTTATCCCCAGAACGCACATGACAGTTCAGAGAGCTAGCACTGAGTGGTGGAAACGGTGCTGCCAAAAGCTGCTGGGCAACATGGCAGCCAGGACTCCAGCTCCCTTTGTGGTGGGCTGCATCTGATCTGCGCACGGCTGTGACACTGCAGGTGGGCAAGGCGAGGCTGGGCACGTCCCCTGGCACGGCGGGAAGTGCTGGGGGGCGGCTGCGCTGATCCGTGGGCAACGCTCAGGTCCCAGGGCAGAACAAGCCGTAGCTGGGGGGGGCGGGGGGGGGTGGGGTGGGCGGGTGGGGGAAGGTAGGGGTGGTTATCTCATTCCAGCATGGCATCCAGCTGGTCAGCCAGGTCATCAAACATGTTGCTGATGTCCTCCAGGATGTTCTTAGCCAAGGGCTCGGCCCAGTAGTGGCTGGAAGGGGAGGAGAGGTGATGGTCAGTCTAGGTTGGTCCTGCAGCTACCTTGGCCAGCAGGGCCAGTGACCCAAACCCCCCCATGCTGGGGGCAGGTTGCCACCCCAATCCCCTCTTCAGCCCTGTGCTGCGGGAGGTGGCAGCAGTGCTCAGGCTCCTGGCTCCTGGAATTTGTGGCACCTCTGTGATGGAGCTGTGCGGCTCCCACGTTACCAGGCTCTCAGCAGCCAACCCGAGCTAAGCACCCTGCTGATACCCCACTGCTCGCCCACAGCACCCCTTGCTCTGCTGCAAGGGGCTTCCTCACCTGTCTGCCTCCTCCGCTGTTATCTTCTCCGCCACCTGCAGGGCAGCCCTCAGGGAGGAGCTGGTTTGTTCCAACCTCTGCTGAGCCCAGGCTGCATCCAGAGGCTTTGCCACCATGGGCTCCCCGCTGTTCCCAGCACCCTTGGTGCCTGGGCAGGGCACTACAGCTGCATCCAGTGCCATGTTGGTGGCTGCCCAGGGGGAAACAGTACTGCGGGGCATCTGTGGGACCTGCTGGTAGATGGTTTTTGGCCCAGAAAACACCAGCTTGGTGGAGGCCACGGAGGTGTGCTTGGCTGAGGCATCTGCAAGGGAACAGGTACAGCTGCAGCTCAGCTGCTTTGCTGGGCAGTGCCTGGCCCTGGCTGGGGAGGCAATGCTTGTTGCAGGCAGCCAGGGCAGATCAAGCACCAAACTGGCAGGAGTGAGGGCCACAGCCTGGCTACTGCTGAGGGGAGCTGGGCACAAAGCAGAAGCCACCTCCCCCAGGGCCCCTGAAGTGAGGCCAGCATTGGGCCGGTCCCCTGCACCATGCCCAGCACCACTCCCTGCTGCATGAGGCCAATAACTCGGCCTGGACATGCACAAGGTGGGGGTAGGGGCTGTACGTACCTGCTCCCGTGGTCGGCGTCCTCAGGACAGCTGCCCCATGCATCTCTGCTGGACTGGCGGCTCTCAGGGAGACGGGGCGTTTCCGGATGCCCTTCTCCAGGGACAGGATGCTCTTCTCGATCTCAGCGATGCGGAACTCCACGCTGTCGTCATCCAGTGCGTCTGCGGGTGGTGGTGGTGTCCCCGGCGTGGGGGAGGCTGGGCCCATGATGCTCACAGCCTGGGCCTGAGCATACTGCGGGCAGGGGCTGCCCAGGTCCTCGCTTTGGCCAGCCGAGCTGAACGCCTTGAGCACGGCCTGCAGTGGCTCCCGCTCTCTGCACCGGGGCCGGCGCTTCACTGTGTCCGACTCCGTGAGGTTGAACTCAGGCATCTCCGGCTCCCTGGCCGCTCCTGGTGACATCCCAGGGGAGGCGCATGGAGGCTCTGAGTCCGGTGTGGCAGCATCTGCACGGAGCTGCCCTGTGGGCTTTGGCCGCTGTTTGATGGTCAGGTTGCCTTCCTCTGCAAAAGGGATGCACTCGCTGGAGCTGTTCTGGGAGGATGAGGAGGAGACCCCACCCTCCTCCCCACCAGTATGTGGCTCTTCCTCTGTGTCCGACCGGATGTCCTCTAGGCTGCCCTGCAGGGCCTCGGTCAGAGGCACGCTGGGCTCGCTCAGCGTCCGTCTCCGGGGCTTGTTGCCCTCAACACCGTCCCATTCACTTGCTACCAGCCAGGAGCTGCACGCATCTCCGGCACCCCCAGTCTCCCGGTCGTCCGGTGTTGCTCTAGGCATTGAGCTCTGGTCAGGATTTGGGGGCTTGTGGAGCAGGGGAAGCTTGGGGGGGCTCCCACCTGCCGGAGCCCCCTCCAGCATGGCAGCGAGGCTCTTCACAGTCCTGCTGCCGCTGACCTCACTGGTACCCAGTCCGGACGAGTGACCCACGTCCACCACGTCCGGGGAGGAAAGTGGCCTCCTGTCAGTCTCTGGCCCCTGCTCGCTCTCTGCCTCCATGGCCTGGGTGCTGGAGACCGAGCTCAGGCGCTTGGGCGGGGGTGGCGGGGGCCCTTTCCTCTTGGCTCGGATGGCAAAGGACTGGCTGCGGCTGACCTTGGAGTCGGTCTGCACACAGGTGCGTGGGACCTGGCTCCGCCCAGGACGCCGAGTGAGGGTGGCGTAGGAGCTCAGGGTGCTGGTGGGTGCATCTTCATCCTGCCCTTGTGCTTGAAGATGTCACCATTGGGCTGGTCCCCAGGCTGCCAGGGGCCTGGGGTGACACCAGGCTTTGGGGGCACGTGAGGGGCCTCTGTGCCAGTGCATCGGGCATGGAGATAGGAGAAGGCTTTCTGAGCTGAGGACTGCAGCGAGCTCTTCTGGGCGGGCAAGAAATGGGGAGGCAGGTGTGCTGGGGTCTTCGGGTGCTCAGGCGCCAGCGGAGAAGAGCCAGGGTGGGATTTCAAGGAGATGTGAGGGTACATAAAGACATAGGGAGCAGAGCCCTTGCTGGGTGTTTGGGGCGGGGTGCAGGGCGGCGGGGTGCAGGGTGGCATGGGAAGCCCATTCCCCTTTGGAGCCACGGGACGCTGGTACTGGTCTGTTCCTTCGGGCAGGTTCCTCTCTTTCAAGGGGCTTCCCCCAGCCCCGTGGGAGTAGTCATTCAGCCCCTCCACAGCAGACGGCTGGGAGACATGCTTCCCACCGCTCTCCTGGGTGGACCTCCCGGATGGCAGCCCCGCACCCTCCTTCTGCTGAGGCTGTGTGGCTGAGTGCCCGCTGCTGCTGCTGCTGCTCCCACTGCCCAGGCTCTCCTGGGAGTGGCTGGAGAGGGCAGTTCTGGACAGCATGTTGTCCTGGGAATGCCCCGACCCCCTGGAGCGAACGCCGATGCTCTCCTGGCTGAGAGACATGCCCTGGCTGCTCTTAATGGTGAGCGTTTCCTGGCAGCTGTTGGACATGGCGGTCTGAAGTTCATAGCTCAGCTCACTGTCCTGGAAGGTGATCATCTTCGGGGTGTGCGGGGACTGGCACTCGCCGTTCTCGATGGACTCGATGGTAACGATGTCCAGGGTGCCGGGGATTTTGCGCGTGGCCGGGTTGGCTTCAGCCTGGTTCAGGCTCTTGCGGAGGTCCCTCAGTTTCTTGACAGCCAACGTGATCTTCTTCTGGTGGCCTGTAGGAGGCACGAGAGCGACAGGAGACCTTCACTCCCACTGCCCCATTCGGTGGCAGCCAGTGGCCAAGGCTAGAACAGCCCTTGCTCCAGGCAGGACCTGGAGCTCCCCATACTCCTGCTGCCCTAAGTCTGCACTGTGTGGGCTGGGTTCAAGGCAGCAAGTGAGGGACCAGAGAGGCTCTGCCCTGTTCATCCCTCCTCTGCCCCGGCCACTCTTGACCCCCTCCCCATTCTCACCCAGCTTGTTGATGCCAATCTCTTGCAGGTCCTCCCACGTCAGCTCCGTCAGGATGGTGATGGAGTCATAGCCGTTGTTCACCAGCTTCTTGTGGTACTGGGGCAGGCCGATGGCGCTCAGCCACTCCATCAGGTCCACCTGCAGTGGCACAGGGATGTGTGAGGGAAGGGGTGACCCACCTGCGGTGCTCTTCCCCCCACAGACTTGCCTCCTCCCAGCCTGGGAGATAGCTGGGCACTTGCTGGTTGTCTCCTCAGTGAGCTGGAGGCCAAGGCCAGAGCTGCTCTCTGGCCTGGGCAAGCTCTGCTGGCTCCGATCAGGAACAGGGTCAGCAGGCACTGGAGGGGACACGAGCAAGCTGGTGGCTCCCTCAGCCCACCCCTTGCTGCAGGGAAAACCAACCCCTAGGTAAAGGGCCCGAAAAGCTTCAATGCACATGGCCTTCTGATGTTGTGTGATGGGAAGCCAGCACCAGCCACCCCTCCTGGGAACAGGGTCCAGCATGCTGAAGTGACCGACAGGAGAGCCCGTGGGGTGGCTGTGCCCTTGGTACTCACAGGAATGTAATTAGGCAGCCACTCGGCGATGCTGAGCTGCCCGATTTCCGTGGAGATCTTCTTGCGGTGCCCAGGCTTGGTCACGCCAATGGCTGTTAGGTCCTACAAGCAGCAGCAGAGCAGTTTGTGAGGATGCGCGGCTCAGGTTAACGCTGTATGAGGAGTTGGCTTATCCCATAGATGCGGGGTGAGAGGATGCTCTGACTAGTTCTCATCCAGGGTACTCAGAGCTCTGGAAATATCGCGCGGGGAGCGAGGGGGTGGCAGGGATCTCTGGGCTGCTGTCGGTCCCGGGAGAGGCTGAGTGGTCATGCCTATGCCCTACTCTCCCCTGGTGCCCCCCGACCACCCGCATCCGCTTGGCCTCACCTCGGGGGTCATGCGGCTGATGGTGGGCACGTCATAGCCGGCACTGAGGAAGTTGGTTGTGTAGGACTCCAGCTGGAACTCGCTCAGCCAGTTGTAAATTGCTTCTGCGTCCTGGGGAGACAAGCCAACACGGAGCGGCTCAGGCTGGGGGCAGCTGTGTGGAGCGGCAGTATTTTGGACCAATCTATGCTGGGCAGTAGGTGCCTCTGGGCTGTGGACAAGGAGAACTGCCTCCCTTAACACCCCACCTTAACCCAGGCAGATAAAGGGAGCTAGGTGCAAGCCCTGTGAAGGGCCAGGAGTGTGACACTGGGGCGATGGCAGCTCTCAGCCCCTGCTGGGGCTTGTATAAGACGTGGCTTACGCAGCAGCAGCGAGCAGAAGGCAGGAGCTGCTTGAAGTGTCAGCCTGTGGCTCAGCCAGCCCCCGGCCCCAGCATTGCTGTGCCGCGCCGCTCAGGGATCCACGTACCTTTCCCTCCAGGAGCTGCTCGGGGCGGAGGTAGTGGTGAGAGAAGCCCCTGTCGCTGGGGGTGCAGTTGGCCAGGTTCTGGTGCCCCAGGGGTCCTGAGCGGAGACAGGGAGAGTGAGCAGAGTGGGCCCCTGCCTTCGCTTCCCACGAGGCTGCAGCCCACCCTCGGTGCCCCTGGCTTCCCTGAGCAGCCTGGATGTTGGGATGTGCACGTAAGGGGTGGAAGGTTTTGCCCCTCACTCTGCCACCTGCCCTGAATGTCACCCTCCCTTCCCGGCTGGGGAGGGCAGAGACACTATCCCTCACCCCCATGCTGCAGCCATTGGGAAGCGCCGCTCCCAGGCCTCTGGCTGCTCCTCCCTCTCCCGAGGTCTGTGAGATGGAAGCAGAAGCCTCCCCAGCACTGACCCAGGGCCTGGCAGCAGCCCAGCACAAGCTGTGTCTCCTCCAAACCGCGTGTGCCCTCAGCAGCTGATCCGCTCCTGGGGCAGGCCGGAAGGAAGTGGGGACGGTGCTTCCCCAGGTGACTGGAGCAGCAGGGGAGGCAGCATTCAGCATGGTCTGCTTGTGGCTTCCCAGCCCTCAAACTCCCAGTATCAGGCTCCCGGGTGTGCTTGAAGGGTGCAAAATACACCACAGAGGCACAGCAAAGCCCGTGCAAGGGCAGGAAGGGGTTCACGGCTTCCTTGGCCCTGCACAGAGCCCCTCTGGGAGAGCAGCAGGCATGTCCCACCCCTTCCTCAGAGGGTGCATGTGACTTGACAGTGGTCATACAGGGAGAGCTGGGACCAGAGCCCAGGTGTCCTGAGGGGACCGTGTACAGAGCCATGCCCTGCCAGTGCTGGCACAGCCACGAGGCCCGCTGGCAGGGCAGCACTGTGCCCTGGCCGTGACGTGACGTGACCTCAGCTCAGCAGGTTGCACGTGTCTTGCCACGCAGGACCTGCAAACTGGGAACTGTCCCCTGCCTCAGGCCGGGTGCCAGCCCTAAGGGCAATGGGGGGCGAAGAGAGACTCCCAGCCCTTGCACCTTACCCAGCACGGAGTGGGGCTGCCCGTTCCGGGGGTCGGCTCCCAGGAGGTGCTGTGGCAGGTCCTCACCGCCAGGAGGCAGCGGCTGTGCGAAGAGAATCACAAGTGTGTGAGCAGTGAACCTGGAGCGCCGCCCCCCCCACCCCGGCCCCTGGGGCTCATCCCAGCACATGCAGCAGGCGAGGGCTGCTCCCCTGCGGACCACCGGGGTATGACAGCAAGGGGGCTGCCTCATGCTGAGGGTCCTAGCCTCGTGTGTCCCCCTGCAGCAGCAGAAGAGGGCTCTGGGGACCAGCCAGGGAGGGTGGTGCTGAGGGCAGCCCCAGGGCACTGGAGGGCCCTGTCCCATACCTTAGCGTTCTCGATGAGGAGGCCGGTGCTCTGCCCACTGGTGCCCTCGGTGCTCTGCCCGCTGCCGGCACTGCGGAGGCTGCAGATGCTGCCCTCGCTGCCCACGCTGTTCCTGTCTCCTGCTGTCGCAGGGTGAGGAGAGGCGCACGTGAGCAGGTGCTGGGGGAGGCACCTGCCCCATCCCCATAGCCTCTGCAGCGCTGGGCAAGCCAGGTACCCCGGGCAGCCACCGGCACATTTGCTAGCAATGCCCCCCTGCCCATCTTGTGCAGTGAGGAGGCTCTGGGCTGCAGCGAAGGAGCTGGCGGGTGCAAAGGGCACCAATCTCTCCTTGCAGAGCGAGACCGACATGCATTGGCAGAAGGCAGCCACCCATGCCAGGGACTGAGCCTGGCACAGCCCTGCACCAGGCTGAGTTACAGGCCTGACAGACTCAGTCCTTCAGCACCACTCAGCACAGGATACACAGGGGCAGGAGAGGGGAGGGGAGGGGAGGGGGTGGGAGAGGCCTGGAGGTGGGGTAGGGGTGCGTGCATGGCCGGCTGCACACCCCTGAGCTACACTGCCCTTGAGACTTGCTTCCCTCTCAGCCAGGCTCCCTCAGAGCTGGAGGGAGATGTTCTCCCTCCCACACAAAGGCCAGGACAGTGGGGGAAAGGGCTCCAATCCCACCCCTGTCTTCTTCTCCCCAGCGGAGACCCTGACCTGAGCTCTCAGGCCCGGGGGCCATCCTGGGCAGGGTGAGGTGGCCGTAGGCAGCCGGGCTGCTGAGGAGGGCTGGCTGCGGAGTATCGTCTGGGAGCGGCTGCAGCTCGCCCCGGGGGGCAGCAATGCCGGGCTGCGGGCCCACGGGGAGGCCCTGGTGCTGGGGTGCGGGCGCTGCGCGGGGAAGAGTTGCACCTGCATCCAAAGACAAAACAGGTGCGTCAAGGCAGGGCATGGGGGCAGGACAGGACACTGCACCTTGTGGGGCTGGGCGGGGGGCTCAGCTGTGTGAGTCTGGTGCAGTCGGGACTGATGGACCTTCCCAGCCTGGCCTAAGTTCTGCTGAGCCCTGGACTCCGTGTCTCAGCCCTGACCTGGCTCCACTCTCCTGACCTGGCAGCAGCTCTGCTGGGATGAAATCAGGGGCTGGTGGAGGAGCTAGGCTCAAACCTCTGCAGGACTGAGGCTGACACCAACCTGACTCCTGCAGAGAGCAGGATCTGAATGCCAGGCCCCAGCCGAGGGCAATCGCTACCTGACCCACCCGCAGGTACGGACCCTACCCACACCCCTCGAGGCTAGAAGGGGGTGCTCTGGACCCCCCCACCCTGTCTCCTGACTGTGTTGCTGTAGGGGTGGGGGTACAGGCTCTGCTGACTGGTGGGGAAAGGGGTGAATGTTAGTGGTGGCGGGGGGCAGGGGAGCAGACACGGTGACAGACACTCTGGCCCCCCACACACACTCCATGCTCCTGCCGGGGCGGTGCTCACCTGCTCGCTTGCTGATGACCTCGACAATGGAGGGAGGGAAGTAGCCCACTCGGTCCGTGCCTTTCTGAGCATCGTGGATGTGCCCCTTCCAGCGCCCGTCCGCATGCTGCTCCAGGACCTGCCGGGTGAGATGGGGGGATGAGGGCGAGTTTTCAAGGGTAGGAGCAAGCGGGGGTGCACCCATCACAGCTGCTCCAGCAGAAGCCAATGCATGGGGCAGCATAGGAGCCCCAGCTGTGGGAGGCTCCCAGCTACTGGGGTGCCCCTGGTCCGTGGGCATTTGCTCACCGTGATGACATCTCCTGCCCGAATGTTGAGAGCTGTTGGGTCGTGCAGGTTCCAAAAATCCTTCAGCGCCCGGACTTTCAGGATTCCTGATGCCTCTGAAGACAAGGGAAGAAGGGAAGAAAGAGGATGGTGGAGAGTGGGTGAAGGGGAAGCAAGAGAAGGGAGAAGAGGGATGGAAGGCAGAGAGAGCGAGAACAGGACAGAAGAGAACATTAATGACACAGCTGGGTGCTGGTCTCAATCCCAAATGTGTGCCCCAGGTAGGGGTGTATGTCCCCATGGCAGATGCAGGTCTGTGGCCTCAGCACTCAAAGCCAGGTTAGCTGGGGTAAGAGGAGGGCTGGGACAGTCCCATACACATCTTGCAAGGAGGCTTTTGCCAGCATCAGGTCAGACCAAGCCAGGTAAGCAGCCCCCGCCAGGGGCTGGCTGGGATGCTGTGATACCAGCCTCTTATGGAACAAAGCTGAGGCATTAGGCCCAGAGCCAGCTCACCTCTCAGCAGCTGCTTGATGTCCTTGCTGGCGTGAGAGGTGGTGAACTGGTTCACGATGTCCAGGGCCGTCTGGTTGTAGGTGTTGCGGATGTTCACGTCCACACCACCCTGCCATGAGAAATCCAGCGAGAGGCCCCCTTAGCACCAGGGTCGGGGGCTCTCGTCTTGTGCAGCACCTCAGATTGAAGCTGCCCCAGCACTGAACTGCTAGAACTGCAGCTGTGAGACCAGGTGGGACCTCCTGTGCCCAGAGACCTCCCAAGGGCAAAGAAGGAGCCCAGCTCTTAGAAACCCTGGGAAGAAGAGTGCCTTGCTCCTCCAGCTGCTTCAGGCCATGGGGGACCAATGTGGAGTGGGAATGGGGCTGGGTAAGGAGCAAGCCCCAGAGTGCCGCTAGTTGGGGAGGCTCACGCTTGCTACGCTGGCTTTGTTGTAGCCCCTGCAGCTGGGTCCTAGGCTGCCTCTTGCCTTGCCCACCGCAGAACCAAGCCAGAGCTACATCTGCCCTCTGCCATCAGCCCCCACGACAAACTCTCTCCATCTCCAGCCACTCTCTCCCCTTCCTCTCAGCAACAGCCCTCCAGCTCACTTCCAGCAGCAGGCGCACCACCTCCGTCTTCCCGTACAGTGCCGCCTCATGCAGAGCTGTTCCTGTCTTGGTCTGCTTGTTGATCTCGATCCCAGCTTTCAGTAGCTGCCTGTGGGAGGGGAGGAAAGAATCAACCACCATGGTGCAGAAGTGGGAGGGCACCAGGAGCTGGGATGACAGCGTGGGCACAGGGGCAGGGCACCTGGGGCCAGGGTACGGGGGCTGGTACAGCAGAGCTTGGGCTCAATAAGTTCTGGATCAAAGCTATGGTCTTGGGTCATCAGAGACCAAAGCTGAACATGCTGATTCTTGCTGTGGGGTGCAGGGGCTGGAGAGCGCCAGGCTGATAGTGGAAAGAGGACTGGAGAGTTTGGGGCAGAAGGAAGGGGCAGAGGAGCAATGGGAACTGCCCTCCAAGGTGAGGACTGGGACAAGCAGGGGGGAGCTGGTGGGGACCCTCTAGGGAGCAGGGAGGGAGGAGAGACATTTGGGCACTGTGCTCTGGCACTGCCAAGGGCCCAGGTGGGTGAGGAAGGGACGGGAACTGGCTGCTCCTGGAGCCCCGGCTGTTACCTGATGATCTCCTTGTGCCCGTTCTTGGCTGCTAGGTGCAGAGGGGTGGTGTAGTTGGGGTCGCTTGAGTCTTTTGACTGTCCCTCCAGGAGCGCAACACACATGTGACTGTTCAGCAGCAACTGGGCCACCTAGGGTGGGAGGAGATGGCTGAGCAACTGAGGGCCTGAGGAAGGAGGGGTGTGAACATCATGTTCCCTGCCACTGCCCCCAGGCAGGCGGCTCACGGGGCATCAGAAGGGACGAGGCGGCCACCCCTCCACGCAGGCTGTCCTGACCTGCCCCTCCCTTGCCCCAGGCCCACACACATCCTCAGCAGCAGGGGCCAGAGAAGGGCAAAGCTTGGCTACCGCCCCAGCCACCGTCAGGGGCCTGACTGTTGGTGCCCTGGAGTGGTAGCTGGGAAGGTCACAGCAGACAGGAATAGCTGCTCCCACAAGGCCCCCATTCAGACAGTGCCCAAGGCCCTGGCATGTGCCACCCTGGCCTGCATGACACACAGAGAAGCGGGGGTGTCATGGGGCAGCCCCAGGGCTGGGCTGGTTTATTTGTGCTGCACTATTTATAGCTTTTCCTGCTCAGAAATAGAAAGATGGCTCCATCCAAACCAGAAGGGCACGTGGGACAGTCTGTGGCAGTTCCATTGCTGGCTGGATGGCACTGCCCAGCCCAGGTGCGTGGTTTCAATCTCGCTAGGCTCCTAGGATCACAGTGGGGCCCTTGCACCTGCCCCAGGAATCCTTCAAGCCCTGACAGACTGGAAGCTGAGGCTTGCAACCCTAGCCGTGCCCCTCAGTGCCTGCGGGGATCAGGGAGGCTCAGCCTGTCTGGGAACCACCTGCAGTGGGAGTGTGGACCGGGGTAGGGCTGGGGGTCCAGATGTCTGGGTTCCACCCCAGGACCAACTGGCAGCCCCCACTCAGGCAAGGTGCTCCCTGATTGCAAATCCATTAATGACTGATTGCGGACCAAGCCCCGTCAGTGTGGTGGAGGGTGGCTGTGCCCTTACCTTCAGCCGACCGAACTCGCAGGCCAGGTCCAGGGGGGTTTTCTTAGCTTTGTTGATGAGGCAGGGGTTGGACTGGTGCTGCAGCAGCATCTCCGACTGCGGGAGAGTGACAGGGCCCCGTGAGGAAGTGAGGCAGGCTGGCCACGCGCCTTGTCCCTCCCTCCAACCTTCCCGCTGGGGACAGCCCTGCTGGGACAGCAGCCTGCCCAGGATGTGATCTGTGCTGGGGAGCACACAGCAGGCCAGCTCCCTCCATCTGGCATTTCATAGATTTCCAGGGCCTTCACGGAACCACTTGGCCGCTCCATGGCAAACCACCTCCCGCGTTTCACCAGGCAGGGGTGCCCTGACAGGTAATGGCATGAGGGCTCCCACAAGGCACCAGCTGGCAAGTGGCTCCTGGCCTTCCCTGTCACAAGCCCAGGGAGGAGCTGGGTCTGGGTGGAGACCACCGGACATTAGGATCTGCAGTGGTGCTGTCACACGTGGCCCATGGAGGGCAGGTAGGTGCTGCTGAGGGCACCTGGCTCCTGCAACTCCCATCCCCTCCCTCCAGCCCCATGCCCACTCACTCACCACCTCGTAGTGCCCATACTGCGCAGAGAGGTGCAGCGGGATCTGCCCGTCCAGTGATGCCATGTTGACCGTGGCTGATGCCCGCAGCAGCATACGGACTGGCTCCACCCTGCCCTGCCAGGCAGCATAGTGCAGTGGGCGCATCCCTGATGGGAAACCACACCAGGAGTGGGCTGAGGCAGGCTGGCTCTTGGCCTGACACCTGCACTGGCACTGGGGGAGCCCCCAGGCAGGGGGCAAGACCTCAAACCTGGAGGGCTCAGATCCAGCTGGGGGCTGCCAAGGAGATGGTACCACATGGACCCACCTCAGCCCCCAGATCAGCGCCACACTGGAGAGCAGCAGTCAAACAAGCTGCTTCATCCTAGCCTGAAAGTAGCTTGCAAGGTGAGGGGTTGGAGTGTTTCTACAGCTGTTGTGCTCCAATGGGGCACAGCACAGCCTGTAGGGGGTCATCTGCTATAGGGGGAGCAGATACCCTCTGAGGTTGGGAGAGAAGGGCACTTTCAAATTCCTGCCTGATCTTGGTCCCCAGAAGGGATAGGGGAGTGGTGGGAAAGGGTTGTTCTTGTCATTGAGGCAGCAGCAGGCAGGGAGGCCTTTCTCCTTCCTTGGGTTGCTGTGGCTGGGGTGGTCTCTCCCCTCACTGGAGTGGGGCGAGGAGCAGCAGTGCCAAGGACTTGGGTCTGATACAAGCCACTTGCTTACCGTTGCTGTCCTTGATGTCAACAGTGGCCTGTGCCTCCAGCAGCAGGGAGATGAGCTCCAGGCTCCCGCCCAGAGCCGCATGGTGCAAGGCGGAGAACCTGTGGACAGCCACAAGACAAGGGTGTCAGGAGCGGCAAGCTCCCTGGGTCCGTCTCCTCCCAGAGCCCAGTCCCACCTGCGGGCAGAGGTTGCCATTTCTCTCCTCTGCAAACCAGAAGGTCTCCTGAGCTGGGTGTCCATCACCCCTGCATTTTCCCGGCCCAGATCCGGCTGCTGTGGCTGAGGCCGTCCCCAGGATCTCCCCATTATCAATCAAATTAAACACCATGACCGCTCACTGGAGGGAAGTTCTGCCAAGGAGGAGTTTGGTGCAATGTTGCTGTGACCGTGTTCCCCCAACACACACCTTGCACGCAGAGGCCCAGCCACCTGAAACATGAAGGACCAGCTCTCCTCCAAAAATGAGGGCTAAGACCCGACACAACAGCTGTGTGCTTCACGGCACTGTCCAGGCTTTTCTCTTCTACAGCACCACTACCCCATCTGACCCTGGCCAGGCAGGGCCCAGAGCACGAAGCAGTTGGGAGGGGGCACCTCTTCTCTGAAAGCCCCTTGTGCCTTCAGCCAAATGCCTTTGAGTTCGAGGAGATGGACCTGATCTTTCAAGCAAGCTATACCCCACTCCTCCCCGTCCAGAGAGCTCCTGCAGGACAGGCCAATTCAGAGAGCACCACCTGTGTGCCCTCCTTCCCACATCCAGCCCCCCCAGCCAACTCTGTTCTCGGTGCTGGCCTGCCTGATGCGCTAAATTCCTCCGGGCTCCCCAGTCCAGCACGTGCCAGCTTCCAAGCCCAGCTCTGAAGACACCTGTGCCAGAGCCCCTGTTGTGCTTGCTGGCTCCAGCGAGCTCCAGTGCTGAGCCTTGAGTCGGCATGGTTCCCTATGCCTCAGTTTCCCTGTCAGCAGAAGGCGGATGCAGCCACCTAACCCATGCCTGGCACTGCATGGGCTCCTTGAGGTTGGCCAAGGGCCTTGTGATGAACCAGTGCTGCACCGGAGAGGTGCCAGAGATTCCTGTTAGCGTGGGAGCACTCCACACTCACAGATTTCATAGACATTAGGGCTGGAAGGGACCTTGAAGATCATCAAGCGCAGCGCCCTGCCCCAGGGGCGGGTAGTCAGCCAGGGTCAAAGGATCCCAGCAAGATAAGCATCCAAGCATTTCTTGAATGAGTCCAGAGTAGGTGCCTGCACCACTTCTGGAGGGAGTCTATTCCAGGCTTTGGGGGCTCGGACAGTAAAGACATTTTTCCTTACGTCCAGCCTAAAATGGTCTTGGAGGCGTTTATGACCATTGGCCCTTGCTATCCCTTGGGGCACTCTGGTGTACAGACGTTCCCCCAGATCCTGATGGACTTCTAGGCAGCCACCAGGTCCGCCCTGAGCCTGCGCTTTTCCAGGCTGAAGAGTCCCATGGCTCTCAGCTTCTCATCATAGGGCCTGTTTTCTCTCCTCTCTGGGCAGTGGCAGCCAAGGCAGGTTTTCAGCCAGTTTTCCAGGCCATTCCTGGGCCTGTCCCCACCCCCTGCCAGCTGTACCCCCCTCGCCTGCTCCGACCGTCACAGTCTCGGTGCCAGCGTGACGACTCTCCCCCTGTCAGAAGCCCACGGCAGTGTGTGTGAGGCCAGCGAGAATGAATGAGCCCTGTGTTCCCGGGCTGTGAAAGAGGCTTGTTTGTCTAGAGCACTCCCTCCTTCCCGCCGCTCCCCCTGCTCCGGGCAGCTTCATTCATGCATAGGGCTGCGTCTGACCAAAGGAGGCGCAGAGCTGACGGGAACCAGCATGGGAACTCAGCGCTCGGAGGCAAGCCTGGCGGGAAAAGAGCGCCTTGAATGCTCCAAGATCCTGAGCTTGCCGGGCCCGGGGCTCCACAGGAGCGTGTGTGAAACCCAACCTGCAGCAAGTAATCTGCCAGCGGGCGATCACTTTGCCGCTGCCTTGTACCAGGAGCAGGAGGGTAGGGCCCCTTCGTATTCTGCAATGCCCCATCTTGGATTGCTGTGTGCGCTCTCGTTACCCGCAGCCACGTCTGAAGGAACGGAGCCAGCCTGGCACCCATGGGCTCGGCCAGGAGGCACTTCTGCTTCGTGCAGGAGGCACAGGCTGCAGCGTGCATCTCGCTTGGGATCAGGACACTGACCTCAGCTGACCTCTGAGCCACGTTTACTGCGTTCAGAGGCCAGGCCGTGCCATACACGGGGAGTGCCGCTACGCGGTGAACGGGCGGATTGCGGTAGGTATGCCCCGACGGCAGCAATGCCTCGCTGGCAACACTTGTGCTTTGTTTCATCAACGAAGGGAACAGCTGCACACCTTGCTGACTACAAAAGGTGAAACCGTCTCCCTTTAGCTCCGCACACGTAGGAAGTAAAGGAAGGCAAAAAGCCAAAACAACTTCATCCCTAGCTAAATAAACACGCTTGCTCACCATATCATTTACAAACCAAATGCAGAGTTAAAACATCATAAATTTCCAACGGCCCCCCCCAGCAGCGCGTGCACACACTATTCCTATTGAGTGCAAAGAAACGTGTGACTCATCACACCACCAGCTCCCTTTTCTCCGACCCAAGAAATACGACTCTTTCATCAGGAATTTAAAAACATAAGCGCCACAAAAGTCCTTCTGAAAACGGGCACGTGCTCATTACACATCTTTACTTCACTGACAAATCGATCAGCTTCAAATGCACGCACGCAGCATTTCGCTACAAACTACCATTACTATCACTTTTAGGAACGCTCTTCCTATTACGTGAATACATGTGCAGTATTCTTCCTACACTATCCATATTCGCTTCCTCTTATCAAAAAGTTCTGCTGTCCAATAAATATACTACCAGTGTTTCCCATTTAACAGTCTCCTAAATGAAAATGCGTATGTCTTGAAATTAAGTAGCAAAATAATACACGCAGAGCACCAGCAAACTATCGGTCAGGGTTAAAGCAGAGATGAAGCATCTTTTGCCCTTGATAACGGGTTTGTTTATGAGATGGGCAGTGTACAACCTGTGGTTCCCTAACCTGTAACAGCCTTGCTTCTAAGCACTTGGATTTATAAGAGATGACTGTTGTTATTTAGCAACCTTCCTGTTTCATGACTGAAGCTTTTCCTGTTTGGGGGTATATGGAGGGTGATGGATGAAGTAGACTATACCATGAATAAAGGGAGGAACGTGAATGGGCCTGGCACAGAATTGATCCTGGGTCTGATGGACTCCTGTGCCCATTCTGTAGGGCTCACTTAAGCAATGGTATTGTGTTCATCTCAGCCTTTGGCAGGCTTTCCAAGGCAGGAAGATAGCTTGAACCAGCTCTAGAATACACTCAGCGGGATCCCAGCCAGACGAACATACTATAACAAGTTCAGTAGCTCTCAAGTTTAGCTGGGGATGTTAGTGGCCCAGATGCATCACCTGCACGTGCCAACGCACCACTGGGAGGGAGCGGAAAGGTCAGAGAAACACTCACCCATCTGTGTCCTGGTAATTCACGTTCAGGCGCTTAGCTGATCCCAGGAGCTCTGTGGAGAGGAGAGAAGAGACTGTCAGTGTAGAGCCCCCAGAGCCACGGCAAGCTGCGTGGTGAACACAGGACGCACCAGAAAACACACGCTACTTGAGCGGATGCAGCATCCGCTGAAACAGCGATTCCCCTTCGCAGCCTTCTGTTCGAGGAGAAACTCCAGGAAATATCAGATCCATGGGAGAACGGACAGCTGGGAGGTAGCAAACACTTCGTACCCACAAAGCTACCGCCCCTGTGTACAAGCACTTCAGACGCATGCTGCTTGTCCAGGACTCCCTGAGATCGCAACTGCCCCTGCACAGATGGATCGATGCTACAACAAGCGCCATCAGACCAAGGAGTGCAGTAAGGCACTGATGACTGACTCAAGACTTGAAGAGGTCGTGCTGGTGGCAGGGGAAACACCGCTCCTTGCCGAGACTCCCCATTGACTCCACTCTGCTTTGGTTTCTACCCTGCCTCCCTTTCTGCCCTGCTCAGGGCTGGCAGGATAGTGCTTAGCTTTCCCCCTCAAGTTACCCCAGCCAGACTCAAGCCCCAGACTCAGATTCGAGCCCTCTGAAGTCCCTTGGTGGCAGCCCCGTACACAACAAAGCTTTGCCTGTGCCCCAGCCTTGCCATACTGACCTCCCAGTGTGCAAACCAGCACCTGACCCATCTCTTTGTCGTCCTCTCCGTCTTTCACTCCAGCTTCTTCTCCGCACACTTCCACATACCCTCTTCCAAAGAGCCCAGCAGACTCTAGCACATCTCACCCACCTTCCTCCTTTCTACCTGCCACCGCAGCCCAACCGCCCCCACCTCCAGCATCTCTCCAGCCCTCAAGCTCCCGTTACATAAGGAGGGAGCAGCAGGATTTGTCCCATGGCCTTTGCCCAACGGGATGGCACTGCTGTTCAGCTCTCCTGTGAGGACGCTCATATTTATAGAGGCTGGTGCTTGACGAGTGCTGAGATGGGACATTTTGCTTCCACCCCTAAGCCCTGTCCACACTCAGTGTGCCAAGGGATGGCCCACGGACCAGATGGTTGGCATTTTTGCTGCTTGGGCAGAGGCTGAGGTCACGGTTGTGAATGTAGGAATTGCATTGTCTCAGCATTCCTTTACCCTAGTGCACCCCCCGCTGTTCCTTGGAGACTGGGATGTGGGGAACCATACAAATGTGGAGACCACCACCCCATCCTCCTAATGTGTGCGCACGCACATACACATGCACACACCAGACTGATCATTTAAGATCCCAACTCCCTCTAGCAATTAATTCAAATTAATTCTTTCCTTCCACAAAGAGGAAGGACATTGTCTTCTCATCTGGGGGCTTGAGAGAAGATTACAATCTCTGGAATTTATTTGCTAAGTAAAAAGGCAAGAAAAAGGGGACAATGTATTTAAAGGTTGGGAGGTGGGGGGTTGGGGACAAAGGATTAATTATTTGTAGTCTCATTTTTACCCCTGACTTCCCTGCAAGCAGATGTCAGACTGAATCACTCTTTGCTCTATACTGCCACTCTGAGGACCTATTTCTCATCCAAGGTGGCTGCATCTTCCAGCCCGTGATGTGTTATGTTTCATTAGGTTTCTTGTTTCATATGGGATGTTTGGCCCCAGAAGAGCCATACTCTTAAGGTGGGATTCAATAACGGAAAAAGCACAGCTGAAATTTTGCTGGGTTAGTTATGGGAGAAAGCACCTTCTCCCTCGCAGCTCTGGTCATCTTCCGCGGCCCTGCCGCCTTGTATTCAAGTTCCTCTCGACTTTCCATCACTAAAGATCTCTCTCTTGCTCTCCCTTCCTCTCCTTGTTTCTCTGCACTGTTTGTATGGGCAATGCCATAAGCATACGCTCTGTAACAGGAAAGGTAGGGGACCCCTACTAAAAGAAGCAAGAGAGTTGAATAAGGGCCAGGCTCCTTTCCTTCTGCCAATACTTAATTAAAAGGAAACTGCAGAATGGTGGTTTTCATTCGAGTCATTATTGTAGTTTAAAATGTTCTGTAAACAGGTTAATTCATGCAAAATGGTCTTTGAGTGGCTGCTTGCAAAGGATGTGCGACTAGTCACCCCAGCACAGAAGAAGCAGGAGAGACCTAGATGGAAGCATAATAATTAGCTCTCCTAGGGACTTTTCATCTTCAAAGTGCTAGACAACCATTAATGTGCAGCTCTGCGCTTCAGAGTGAGTATGTAAGGCCCTCTCCTCTACTCCAGGGACCTACTCCCTTGGGGATGTTCACTAAGAACTGCCAAAGTTAATGACAAAAATATGGTTTTATTTATGCTGGTTCTGATTTATCCTGTTATTTCTGTAGAGCCAGCAGGGCCAAGAGAGGGGGAGTTGAAGTCTATACCTTCTTGTACATCATCAGGAGAATGACTAGGCTCCCATCAGCTGCACCTCGGCAATCCCATGGAGGGCTCTCAGCTTCTGCAAGTACCAGCGGGCATGACATTTGGCTCATGGACCATTTACTGCTGGTAGTGAAGCATGGGAAGGAGCATCCAGCTTGGCACTAAGATGTTAGGCTGTGTTTGCACAACTGCCACTTAGGAAAAAATAAGGTTCCACTTGTAAATTGGCTGCATTGGATCTGAATCACTGTGAGACAATAAACAGAGGCCCTATGGTGCCAGGTTTACAGAGGCCCTGTTGGAGCGGACCAGTGCTTTAGCAGTGCAGAGGAAGCCAGGAAAACAGCAAGTAGCCCTTGGACCATCTTGCACTTCTGGAATGGTTCCTAAAGCAGGCCAGGGAGTGAGAAGGATCTGGGTGGTGTGGAGGAGACATTAGAAAAAAAAATATCACAGAAAACAGGTGATTCTTTCACCAGTTTTACTAGGATCTTAAGTGGCTCAGCCTCAACTTGAAATCTATGCTGACTGGGGCTGCAGAAATGCTGATGCATCAGGTGTTTATGCTGTGTGATTACTTTCTGCCGTAGGACTGTCATTCTCAAACTGTTTTGGGCAGCGTTCCCCCGTTTACTTCTGTTATCCTGCTTGGTACCCCTAGGATGCTGTATTATGGATACAGAAAAAGTAACACTCTTTATCACTCCAACCATGCTGTAACCTCGCCAACAGACATGATAGAGCTGTTCTTCAGTTTTTTCCTTCCTTTCCCTTCACTTGTATTGCCCCTCTCCCTTCTTCCATCCCTCTGTCCCTAGAAGTTTGCCGCATGCATGCTTAAGCACACAGGCCCCAGTTTGAGAAGCGTGCCACTCGGAGGAGCCAGGCAGCAAAGTGACAATTTCTGGTTCTCTTGTTGTTGAGTTTGGGCATGCAGCTCATCTGATACTGTGGGGTGCTTTGCTTTGCACTGGAGTTTTGCGCACAGCTTATGGTCCAAACCTCCAGAGCTAAGATTCCCCACATTGTAGGAACCTGACCCCAATGAGAGCACATTCTCACTCACTCTAGGTGCTAACTGATGCCAGAAGGGGGTTATGGAAGGAAAAACCCAGCCAGAACGGTGGGATCTTTATGCGCCCTACACACGCTAGAATGACTCTTGCTGGAAAGGCTCACAGCGTAGGCGAGCGCTCAGTGGGGTTGTTCATTGCCTTAGAAATGGTAGGAGGTGGTGGCCTAAACAGACTGGGAGGCTGCTCCGGCTGTGAGTGAAGCAGAACAGAGACAAATATGGAGCTGCCATGAAATGAAAGATACAGAGAACACCCAAGAGAAGAAAAATGATGCTCTCTCCCTCAGCCCTAAGCTCTTCATCCAACTCCGCAGAAAAATAGCTTCATCTCAAACTCAGCTGCTTTGAGACATCCATGGAGGCTCACCGACTCTTCTAATGCTACCTTCAATGGGATCCCACGCAAACCTGATGCCAGATCCATGGAGCAGGGCACAGCCCATAAGCAAATGTAACAGTGTTCAACATGATCCTGCACTATGGAAGACACTGCTGCATCTCTCTCTGGTGAAACCACCCGAAAGAGCCTGCAGACCCCACTGGTGTGGAGGGCAGCAGCATCTCCTCCAGCTCAGACAGCCAGACCCATCCCCTGAAATCCTACTCCCAAAGCAGCTCCAAGGAAAAATGGCCAGGAGATGCCTGGTCTGAAAAGCAGAGCTGAGATGACCCGAGCTTCTCTCCCCAACTCCCCTGGGATGCAGCTGTCAACATCTGTAAAGCAGAATTCCTACGTCTTAACTCCCCACACAGAGGAGAATTCCTCCAATTCGTTCCTCATTCCAGAGTTCCTCAAAGCTCCCTCCCTGCTCGAGCACAGCGGTGCACACACATGTGCGCTCACAACAGCGCCAGGGGACCTGGGGCGTGGTGGGGAGGCCAGCGGTGCTGAAACGCAGCTGGGAGAGAGGGACAAAACAAAGAAGTGTTAATAACTTACACTCCTTTAGCACCTTCCCTTCTCTAAAAGCCTCAAGGCACTCCCCAAGCATTAGTGAAGCCAGACTCGCATTTCTCCAGGGAAGTAGGAAAAGAAGATATTTTGGCTGCCTGGATTGGTAAACCGGGGTGCAGAGAGGCAAAGCCACTTGCTTTAGTGATGTGGACAGTCACTGGCAGATCTAGGATCGGTAGACAACCCAGGCAGGCAACCTGACTCTTGTGGTTGTGGGGAGTGACGGAAAAAAGGTGAGGGGAAGAAGCAGCTCGAGCTGAAGAAGCAAAGGAAAGAGAGACAGGAGAGGGATGCATACCAGCGGGTCAGTCAAAGACATTCTGCCTCTTCATTCAGGCCTTATGCCACCTATGGCTCCCTCACGAACAGCTGGTTCAAAGGATGTTCCCAGGAGAGAGGGTCCCTATTTATACGAGTGTGCGATGGGCCGAGATGACATACAGCAGATAGAGAGAGCTGTTTGCCCTTGCCACATCAATCAGCCAGGCTACAGGAGATTTTGTTCCCATTTTCAAAAGATTAGCTCTCCCCTACCCTGGGGATTAGGAGCTCCTGCGACAGACCGCAGTGCTTAGGGGAAGCTAGGGTGCAGACAGACCAGGAAAGAGAGGGGGTGG